CCCTGAGTTGATATTAATAAATAAAGAACATTAGAAGTAATAGTCTGGCCAAAAACAAAAAAAGTACCTGGTCCAGCAGAAAGCAATAGGTAGTAGTAGTAGTAGTAGTAGTAGTAGTAGTAGTAGTAGTAGTAGTAGTAGTAGTAGTAGTAGTAGTAGTAGTAGTAGGTAGCCTATTATTTTATCTCATGAAATGCTCTTGAACGACAAAATGCTATTATGTCAGTTTTAGTTTCCTTTTTAAGTCCTTCAAACAATTTCACCTAGTTTTCTCCTGCTTTGGCATGCGTGAGGTTCGCATGCTACGTGTCCCAAGGACAGCTAGAAAAACAAATGAAGAAGTCCTGGTTGAAGCAAATTACAGAAAACAACTTATCACGAATATAAGAAAACGACAGGCAAATTTCTTCGGACACACAATGCGGAAAGAAGCGTTAGAGAATATTATAACAACAGTAAGGTTTGATGGAAATAGAGGCAGAGGCAGACAGAGGGAAAATATAATGGACAAGATGACAACATGGTTGGGAGCAGCAAGAACAACAAACACCATTGCTGCAACGCAAGACAGAGTGAAGTGGAGGTCCATGATCGCCCACGCCAGTCGGCAAGGCACCGGATGATGATGAGGTTCGGAATCGACTTGGACACGCTTAATTGGCATGCCTGATTGATAGCATTTAGGAGGTGGGCTTAGACTCTCTCAGGGCCAATCGGAGCTGAGAGGGATGACGTTGTTTAGCATCCCAATGGAAAGTTTGCTTAAAATTCACCCAACGCTCGACTCGAACACAGGTCTTCTGCGAGAGGCGGCCAAGCACCCCAATTTACGGCTACACAATGGACGCCATTGTGTAGGCTATAATAAGAGGCGAGACCTCCGGATTTAAATTCTATGTCAATCTTCTTTTGTTTATTTTTGTAAAGTGTTTTGCGGCGCTCGCAACTGCATAAGGTCATATGAGCGCGCAGAACACACCCAATATTTTCAGTTGGTAGGAAATTTTGATTTTTGCCCTGGTGGCGGCCGAAGCCTACTCTTATCAATTTTAGACCACCAAGGGATCTTTAACGTGCGCAACTTGCACACGGGCCCTCCGAGATTTTTCGCCATTGTCCGAGAAGGCAATGTGTAGATCGTTCCTACCAGAAGATCAGTGGTGTGGCTGAAAGACAGCAGTAAGAACAAGAGAAGGAGTAGCAGAAGAAAGGCTGCAGAAAGAATCTGGAGCCCAGAGGAAGGAGCAAAGGAGGTGAAGGGGTGGGGGCAGAAAGAGGAGACGAAAGCAGACGACAGAACATTGCTAGAGAGCAGGAAATGAGGTGAAAGGAGACAAATTTAGAGAAGAAAATTTTTCGGTCGCAACCCGGATTCGAACCCGGGAGCTTTTGAATGAGAGGTCAACACCTTAACCTCTAGGCCACGAGAGCCCCCCTCTGTCAATCTTCGATAGAACCGGGCCAGGTAGGTGGGGAACCTGAAAAGCTCCCAAAACCGCCCAAGTTCAAGAAATGATCCTCAGTTAGAACTCAAACCGGGGTCATCAGTCACCAGCTTAGCCAACAAACTGAACTAACAGCGTGTCTAAGAAGGGGGGGAAAGTGTATTGTCTTCATACTGCATACTTGTCAAAGTGAGTTTCTCAACGATACCAAATGATCATCTTGATTTGTAGTAAAATAGTTCTTTGGGAGGCTAACCATGGAAAAAATAATCATAATATACCATAGCTAAGTCTTTCATTTCTTAACTTCATACAATACATCCTGGCTTCGGCAAAGCGGTTGCCTTAAAAAAAAAAGAAGAAAAATTCAGTTGAAAACTAAAAGTATAAGAGTATCTTTTTCTATAAAAATTACAACTGCTAAGCGTCGTTTTATATTGTGCGGTGATACAACCGTAACGAGAAGAATACGGTAAGAAAACAAGTTTTGCAAGTAAAACCATCATCTGAAGTATCTTGCCAACAAAATTTCACGAAAAGGAAGAACCCTTGGCATACTTTGAAAAGTAATCAAAATTTGGAGTAAATTGCTACTGTGGAAGAGGTGACCTTTAGAAAATGGCTCTTAATTTGATCATAATATTTAAGCACCGCTTCGTCCCCAACTCACCCTCCTCTTCATGCTCTCCAATTATCACTCCTACAACCCACCTCTCCCAATTGGGATGTTATATAACAGGTAGAAATAGTTGTATAGTAACATAGTCTTTAAAAATAGTGTGATTGGTACCCTACGTGGCAAATTTTAGGTCCCTGAAATGTGGCTCGTCGATGTTAAGACCACTGAGGATTTGGTGAGAACCCAAGTTCCAAATCCACACTGATTCTCTTTGATTTAGTTTTTCTTTTGCAGGATTACGAACTATTTCAATGCCCTGAACTGCAGGTCGGAGGCTCCATTGTGACCAGGACTGTTGAAATGTTGGCCGACTGGTGTGCATGCCTTTTTCTGTTCTGAGTACCTATGGTTATTGAACCTAGCTCTTAGCTCTTAGTGTGGTAGTAGTTTGACCTACATATGTGAGGCAGCGTGGTGGAATCAGGCTCTCGTCAATTTTGGGGCATGTAGAGTTATTGGTATCATCTTAAAGCTTGTTCAATTGTCTTTATTTTGATGAAAAAAATATCCATTTATCTTGAATACAAGTCGAGATATTTGCGAAAGAAGGAGGTGGAGGTCGCCTGTTTTCAGAGGTAAAATTAGTGAGAAAATGGCCGCCAAAGGTTAGTTATTTCCTTAGTTTAAGAGTCCGTGGTAACTGAAAATTTACATTTTTGTGCCTTTAAAAAACGCTTTTTAGAAAAATTTCCACAGAAATGTGTAATAGGCAAGACAGGTGTTGAGCCAAAAAACAAAAATTTGATAAAAATTCATAAACCTACGGAAAAATGCCAGTTTCTTCACTTTGATTATTTTGACGAGAGCCTGATTCCACCACGCTGCCTCACATATAGGGTTTGGCAGACTCTACAAGAGATGAGGTAAATCACGTTTTTGGTTTGACATGTGATGCTGTGAGAAATTGTTCTTTTAAAGTGGGGGCCTTCTACCAAGTTGGTCACACTTATATACACAGCTATCACCACTGTGCTATGGGTTGTCCAGTTTACGTTCACCATTAAGCACATGTTTTGCATCTAGGTTTTTGACAAGGATAATTTTGAGGTGAGATACATGGGCTTGTCGGAGGTGAGGACGTGGGTGTTACTGCTCTAGTGCGAATGAGGAGGTTGCCAAGATTAGGTGGCTGTCGTAGTTCGACCAGAGGGGGGTCGGGGAAACAGGCTTTCATTTTGTCTGATTTTTTTCAAAATGTTTTTATGTTGGCCGTGGATCATCATCATCATCATCATCATCATCATCATCATCATCATCATCATCATCATTATTATTATGTCCCAGTCTCGTTTCCTCTATTTTCCCAAGTACTTGAATTCCTACTTGTTAATCTACAATACTTGTTTCTCTGTCTGTATATGAGTCCAGCATTGTCTTTTTGACTGTCTGTCTGGTTGTCTAGTAAGTGGGTTTAGTTGTTTTTTTTCTTCTCTATATATATATATCGATTCCGAGACCTCTTTTATGAGCATTTGAAAACAATATTTGCATATTACCGTTCACGAGTTACAGAAAAGATGAACTAATGAACGAACAGGAAAGGAGAAAAAGCAACAATCGATTGGTCATTGAACATAATTAATGTGAATTGACAGAATAGCTGAACTAGCGGTCGAGTGAAAAATCAAGCAAAAAATAAAATAAAATACATTTTTTTAAAAGGAAAGAATAAACAAAAGAAGAAGAAGAAGAAGAAGAAGAAGAAGAAGAAGAAGAAGAAGAAGAAGAAGAGAGAGAAAGAGAGAGAGAGAGAGAGAGAGAGAGAGAGAGAGAGAGAGAGAGAATGAATGAATGAAAACAGAACTTACACGAAGAACTCTACGCCCGCCTCCTTCTGTAGCTCCGCCCACAAAGGGAAGGCGTCAACCATCATCCTGACGTAAAAGTCGTCCTCGTAGGCGTAGCGAGTGATGCGGGAGTGTCCATGAGAGCTGCCACGCCCATGGGGGAGGGGGAACTATTTGGGGGCGGGACAAGCACATGAAGAGATTGTTATAGTTAACCATGCTAGACACTTTATTTTTTAAAAGTTATTCAGAAGGCTGAGCTATTGGCCTGTTAATGTTATGACTTTCATTTGATAGGTTATCTTTTACGAAGGACGGTAACAAATATTGGCTCTCCTATTTATTAAAACTCCGAACTTATGCAAGGCAAACCAAGACGATCGTCTGACCTGAGGTCCTCAATAAATATGTGAGGCAGCGTGGTGGAATCAGGCTCTCGTCAAAATAATCAAAGTGAAGAAACATGCTCTTTTCCACAGGTTGGTGAAATTTTATCAAATTTTTGCTATTTGGCTCAGTACCTTTCATGCCCATTAAAGAACTCATTTTTGTGTGGACTTTTCTGAAAAAAGTTGATTAAAGGCACAAAAAATACAAATTTTCAGTTACAACGGACTCTTAAGCAAAGGAAATAACTAATCTTTGGCGGGCATTTTCTCACTAACTTTACTGCTGAAAACAGGTGACCCCCACCTCCTTCATTTGCAAATATTTCAACTTGCATTCAAGATTGACTGAAAACCGTTATTAAAGGCACGCAAAACATGTGCATTTGCAGTTTTCAAGGACTGTCGGGCTTTAGATGCGGGCTCTCGTGTCCTAGGAGCTAAGGTGTCCGCCTTTCATTCAAAGGCCTGGGCTGGAATCCGTGTAGCGACGGAAAATTTTCTTCTCTCAAATTTTCTCCTTTCATATCCTTTCCTGCTCTCTAACAATGTTCTGTCGTCTTCTTTCGTCTCCACTTTCTGCCCCCACCCCCCTCACCTCCTTTGCCCCTCCTCTGGTCTCCTGACTCTTTCTGCAGCCTTTCTACTGCTTCTCTTTGACTCCTTCTTACTGCTGCCTTTCAGCCACACCCCTGATCGTATAATAGGTAAGGTCTACACCTAGCCATCTCGGACAAGGGCGAAAAATTTCGGAGGGCGCGAGTGCGATTCGCGCACATTCAAGATCCCTTGGTGGTCCAAAATCGATAAGAGTAGGCTTCGACTGCCACCCGGGGAAGAATTCAAAATTTGCTACCGACTAAAAATGTTTGGTGTGCCTAGCGCGCTCATATGACCATATGCAGTAGTGAGCGCCATAAAACACTTACTATTAAAACAACAACAACAACAACAACAACAACAACAACAACAACAACAACAACAACAACAACAACAAAAAGAGCTTTGGATGTCACAAAACTGTGATAATAATATCTGACATCAGGTGACCCCAATCTCCTTTAACCGCATACATAAATATTTTTAAAATATATATATATATATATATATATATATATATATATATATATCGAATTCTAGTTAAAATACAAGGGTAATTTTAAAACGAAAACAAGGCAAACGAAACATTTCATATGCCCAAAATTGACGAGAGCCTGATTCCACTGCGTCATGAAACATTTGCATTTCATACTTTTTAGGATGTTGACTCCGGCCTAAGCTAAAGAGCGTGAAAATTACTGGCCCAGGAAATAAGCTCTATGGCATTTTGAGGTCCAGAGGTGAGCTCGATTATGAAGTTTGATTCCCAATAGATACATCTTCAGATCGACAAGACCATTGTAAAACCACAATTGAATTGCCAAAAGTTGTCACTAATCTTCCTTAAAGTAAAGATGTTACTTTATGTTGAGGTTCACCAAGAAGGCGACACACACACACACACACACACACACACACACACACACACACACACACACACACACACACACACACACACACACGCGAGAGAGAGAGAGAGAGAGAGAGAGAGAGAGAGAGAGAGAGAGAGAGAGAGAGAGAGAGAGAGAGAGAGAGAGAGAGAGAGTACATCAAAACTTTTCTCCCTTGCTTTCTTTTCCTTTTTATTTATTTTTGCGTCAGAGGTTTTGTAGTTTGGTTTTGCTATTGCCACTGTCTTATCATTCTCGGTCCAGAACAAAGTTCATCAGCCATAATCCTGTGGAAAAGGAACGACATCACAAAATGAAGGCCACTGCCACAGTCAACTCGTGAATAAAGAGGTAAAGGCCATGTAGCGCATAAACATTTGTTGTCTGTTCGTAGTTTTGCCATGTCACACGTCAACCATACCTTTGGCCAGTCGATGAGATAACCTTTAATCTAGAGCCATGCACAAGGACTGTCGCTAGACGAGGTATCGATACACATAATATGTTATCCTCCTTGTGATTTAGACTAATGACTAATGATCCTACAATCTTTGCTTTGACCTCCAGCAAAGACTTCCGACTGGTGTCTGTGGTGTAGGGGTTAATAATTGTTCGGCTGTCGCACGAAGATGACCCAAGTTAAATTCCCATGTAGGGAGAAGCTTTTCGAGAATATTATTATTTATTATTTTGTCTTTGAGCTGGGATATTGTATACTCTCTCTGTCCGGGTGGCCCTGGCAGACAGGGTCGATGCCTGTCTCCTAGATGATCTGAATTGTGCCGATGTGGGCATAAAACATTCAAAAAGTTTCCCAGCAGAAAGATCGAGATAGCCTACTGGATTAAAACTCTCCCACTTGCGAAAGGAACTCGATCAAGTCTTAATGAGTTGGTGTGCGTGCAAGGCGAAGCGCCTAACAGCTACACCACAGAGGCCGTTAATTTATCAAAGAAACTTTAATTCATTTGGAGAAATAATATTTAGAACTTTTATTCCATTTTTATATCGGCAAAGAGTGAGGAGGAGGGGGGGGGGGGTCTCAGAACCTTGAATAAGTCGTTAAACGATACGTCAAGCCATACGACTTGTAATCGTGAAAACCCCGGTCACATCGCTAGTCCACGACAATATTTTCTTTGGAGTTTTCCTTACTGCAGGCCGAAGTTTTGACCTTCCTGCAGTTATCAACAGATATACCGCATGTTGTTAATCCGTGAAAGCGATTATTTCAGTCTGGAGATAGCGCTCCGGTTTAAACCGGATACCGCAGTACCGGTATCAGCACGCGTGCGCCTTCGTAAACACTCTATTTTTCTGTGAGGATCGTCGAAAGGTGCTTGGGGTTTCGAGCAACTAAAAATTAGAGGCGACACAAATAATATTCAACACTACACGTTTTCATCAACTCCTGGTGGTATACGACGAACCAGTTCAGCTGTCTCACGCCATCATCTTGGTAATGACTCTGAATAATCTTACAATTTTGATAGAGCAGATATAGCATAATATGTGAGGCAGCGTGGCGGAATCAGGCTCTCGTCAAAATAATCAAAGTGAAGAACTTGTATTTTTCCACAGGTTTGAGAATTTTCATCAAATTTTTGTTTTTTGGCTCAACACCTTTCATGCCCATTAAAGAACTCATTTCTGTGTGGAGTTAAACGTTATTAAAGGCAGAAAAAAATGTAAATTTTCAGTTACCAAGGGCTCTAAAGCTAAGGAAATAACTATTCTTTGGCAGCCATTTTCTCACTAATTTTACCTCTGAAAACAGTTGATCCCCACCTCCTTCATTCGCAAATATCTCGACTTGTATTCAAGATAAATGGATATTTTTTCATTCAAATAAAGACAACTGAACAAGCTTTAAGATGATACCAATAACTCTACATGCCAAAAACTTGACGAGAGCCTGATTCAATCACGCTGCCTCACATATTTTGACTTCTGACCTCATGGTGTGAGTAACTCAAAATCATAACGGCCCTAACATGTCAGATAGAACTTTGTATTTCTGAGGTAGCGAAATGTGGTGGCGAACAATGGAATAACGTCCCGTATACCAAACGTTAAACATGTCCGAGGGG